TAGTGAAAAGCTAAAAAATAAACAATAAAATACAGCAATGTAAAGTGTGAGATATCTATATCCATACATATATAAATAAATTATACCACACAAAATGTACCACAATTTTTGTCTGATTACTTTAATTGACTGTGTTTAACAGAATGTACATTGCCATTATTCATTTTCTTTAAAAAAAAATGTCTTTCAAAAAAGGTCATTTTGGAAACCGCTTGACCTTCAAACATAAGAGTAGATTTACTGGATTTAAAATGAGCATAACAAATATTAACAAGGAGCACCTTTGGTTAAACACAAGCTTGTTTGTGAATTACTGAAGTTGCTCATAGTTGATAAAGTAGCAAAAAGGGACACTAAGATATCACTCTAGTACTAGTAGTATTGTGCAGAAAAAGTGCTCAAAGTATATTTTTGTCAGAAAATTACTCAAATAAATGTAACTAAATGTAACTAGCTACTACCCAGCTGTGCTGAAAGGTGTGATGTACACAGAAACTCACCTCTGTAATGACAGCGAGGTCCTGCTCCCCGTTCCAGTCCGATTCATAAATGTCTCGTAGGGTCAGGGACAGGCGCTTCGAGGTTTCATGCACCGCTGTGGAAATACATTATAAGTCTTAAAAAAAAAAAAGGCCATCAGAAAATGTCATCATGACTCTGCAGGCTTTGGCGCCTGAGAAGGCATTGTTTCAAAGAGCGTGTGTTTATGTCGCTACACCCATAAAAAAAAGACCAGAACAGCAGTTGTTTCCTGACTGGATGTGGGAGAAAACAAACAAACAGAAGCAACTCATTCTTGCAGATGAATGATATGTTTTTTGCTTTTTTTTTTTTAGCAGCTGCTGTTTTTAGTACAACCCAGCAACGAGGATATGGTTGCAAAACCGAACACAAATCTAGGAATAGCTTCGATTCACTTCCCCATCTGAGTAGCTTTACTGCTGCATTCTCTAGATGTGTTTAAACTCACTTTTCACTGCTGCATAGTAGGCTTTCACGTCTTTAAACAATCTGGTTCCGTCGTTCTGTAAAAAAAGAAAAAGAAAGGCGGAGAATTGAACAGGTTAACCACAGTGACATCCAGTAACTGCATCCGATCTGAGCTCATTGAGCCTCATCCTAAAACTGCCGTCAATATTTATCTGTTGCATGTCATGCATGTCGTTTTGACCACAGCCCAGTTTATTTCCCATCAATCAACTCCAAGTGTTTTACTGACCACAACCAGCTTTAAATGGTTACAGCAGTTGATAAGGTGAAGTGAAAGCAGCAAGCGTGTCACTGTCTGCACTTCCTTCCTGTTGCTCATCTACATTATTTTCCCTTTTCTAAAACAGGCATGGTTAACTTACCAAAAACTAGCAGATGCAAGTTTTTCCTTTATCTATATTCATTTTCCTCAGTCCATTTCAGAAAGAACAGCTTATTAACAATTAAACAATTAAAGTGGAGCATTTTATTTCCATGACATATGCAAAGTAAACTATTTTTACTGTGGTATGAAGCTTCTGTTTGGCAAAGGCAGCTCTAAAAACTGAAATTACCCCGATCCTAAAATGAGTGCAGTCAAAGGGAATACACAGAGCAATTAAAAACTGAGCAACAGGAAAGAGAAGAAAAACAAATCAACACTTTCAATCAGACAGCATTTTGGTAACGTTAGATATGAAGCCAACTCTTCAAGTAGGAGAGGAAACCTTGAAACAGACATGGTCAATTTAAAAAACAAAAGTAGAATATATGGAGTGAACTTTGTTCCATTACTTTTGCAAATGTAAAAAAAAAATGCAATCCAGAAATGAAACTTAAAATTTTAATCAAAATATGGTTTCAAGAGTAACTTTGCCGTTTTCTTTAATTAGATTTTTTTCGCCTTGTCAAATTTAATTTATTTTTTATAATTTCCTCTTTTTCAGATCGTGTTTTACCAATTACGTCTTTTTTCTGTTGTTTGGAAAAAGGAGTGAAGATGCCTTTCTACTGGTCTGTGTGGACGATAAGACAACATTTTTATTGGTCAATGTGCATGACAACAATTTGTATTTGGCTGGAAGAGAATGTTTTAAAATGCAATTTGATAATTCAATCTGAAAAGGAAATCTGGAAAAAAAGAAGAATCTGAGAAACAAGGAGATATGCTCCCAAAAATATTGTTTTCATTAATATCATTAATTTTAATAAGAAGCATTTTAAAAAGCAGGGGGCGATTAAACATAAAGCAATGCTAGGCAGTTGCCTAGGGCCCCAAGTTCCTGGGGGCCCCATAAAACTTTTCACATATATGGTTAATACAACTATTCCTCATTTTTGGACAGTAATTATGTTTTTGATAAAAATCCTTTTGTTAAAATGCCATCAGAATAATTATAATATTAAGTGTGTCTCAGATAGAACAAATAATGTATGTCTATACTAGTAAAATTTCTGTATCTCTATAATGGGTCTGTTTTATTTGTTGTCTTCTCAGTTCAGAGGGCCCCCTGCCCGGCTTTGCCTGGGGCCCCAAATTTCCTAAATCCTCCCCTGTTAAAAAGGTTAATTTCTAGATTTATTTTTTTATTGCTATTTACAAATGGTTTTCTTCACTTGGAAAAATAATGAAAATGTTCACTCTTTGATTCGATTTCAGTTTCACAAAGTAAAGTTAATTTAGTAACATGGACCCCATAAAACTATTAATTTGGGTAAATCGACAGCCTTGACTCTAATTTTTCAAATGTCTGTTAATAAAAAAAAAAAAAAAACAGCATGCATCTTTAGACATTTAGCTGCCTAGTATGCAGAGGGTTGCAGGGAACACTGGGGCCAATGGTCAAAATCAATAAATGGACTTATGCAATGGTAATGTTACATTAGCAGTCCTCAGATGTTAAGCACGGTCACAAAGGAATTAACTCTCTGACTAATAAAAGATGTTATATACTACATAACATGAGATGTGAAAGGAAATCAACCTCCACAACGTGACACCCAGAGCTGCAGGCTAGTGTTTGGAGGCAGACGTTTTTTCACACTTTTTTCTCAGTATGCAACCATTACTTATGTTTGTATTCAAACAGCACCGGCATTAATTTTTTAATGCAATGGAGCCTTTCCTTATCTATTAAGACCCATAAAAATATTGTGACAAAAACACTTATGGTTCCCATCATTAATGATTACAACACTCAAAATGAAATACTCTAAATGGCCAAGCAATTTTGTTCAAAGAAAAGCTGATCCAAAGTGAGGAGACTAAACACTATGTGGTTTTATTTAAAAATATATATAATAATTAAATTAGGTCTAAAACTTCCGTTTTTGATAAAGCCTCTAGTTCGAGTGGCTCAGGTTATCCGGAGCCATCTCTCTAATTGTGCTGCTATACGCTTAGGATGCTGAAGGACATGGGGACACTTTTCTTATTTAATCATTCCATCTATAGTCTACACTTCTGCAGTACTACTTAGTTCACCTTCTAACTATGTTCTCTTATATCATCATCTGGCCTGGCAGTATCAGGGTTTCCACTGGGAATTTCTCGAAGGGTGGGGGGTGAAGGGTTATGAAATTAAACTTTAATTCTTTAATAGTTAACTATTGTTAAGAGGTAAAGTAATACATTCATTTTAATGAATTACCTGATTCTACATTTCATACATTGAATTTTAAAAGCAAAAAAAAGTTATTGCAAGGCGCATGCATTACGTGAATAACTAATCTGTCTGGTTATCGTGTATTTTCAAAGAGAGGGGGAAAAAAAAGGTACTTGATTAAATTTATATTGCTTTGTTATCCAGGACTGAATTATCTGCAGCTTTGTCCATGTTATCCAGTGGCAATGAGAAAACAGAGCAGGTCTCTTCACTCAGACTGCATGCAGGATATTCAGGACAAAGCAGCTGCCTGTGATGCAGCTCTTAGGGAAAAAGGGAAGTACTCACTGTGACTAGCTACCATCATGAGACGTTGCCATTTTTTTTTGTTTTTCTTTTGCTGTGAACTCACCAAAATATATATATATATCATGATATTTTTGATTAATGCCCAATATTGAAGCTATGTTATTCTACCCCACAATGCAAGAGGGCCAATCAGGAACTAGCTGTGGGTCTAGATACGGCCGAGG